CACAGGGTCTTGCTATGCAGCTCAGGCTGGTCTTGAACTCACTCTGTTGCCCAGGCTGGTCTCGAAGTCCCAACATTCTTCCTGCCTCAGCCTCCCAAGTGCTGGGATTATAGGCATGCCCCACCACGCCCAGCTGCAATTACATTTTAGTTTCTGGTCCTGTCCTCTTGCTCCCTCGTGCTTGTTTGCTTCCTCTCTTCTCTGAATGTGGCTAGATTTGAATGGAGGATTTGCCTGAGTGGGTAACACTAAATTCTTCAACTTCTGAGGATATTAATAAGAAGCCATTTTTTCCCCTTTTTACTTGCTCATTTTAGTAACAAAGTACAATATTTCCCGGGAAGGTAAAATAACACTTGTAAATATGCAGATTGTCTTTAATGCCTCAGAATATGAAATCAGTTCATGTCAAATGACATAATCCTTGAGATCTGTGGCTGCAGTGTAATTTTTCATTTACCCAATATTACTGTTTTGTCATTAATCTTTACTAATGACGAGGCAGAAGTCTATACATCTCCCCTTTGTGGTTCCTATTAGTGTCTTTTATTTATTTATTATTTTAAATTTATGTATTTCGTGGGGGGCGATAGAACGCTCCTGTTATATTTTCCCTTATTTGGGCAAGAAGTGCTGCAGCGCCAATCCCCGCTTGCCTCGATCTCTTCCTGTGGTCCTGGACCTCCACTACCAATCCACAACTAGTCGCACCCAACTGCTTCCACTATACAGCTATTTAGATCCCGCTCACTTCTTCAATAAATGAGACTCGATCAGAATCCTGTCTTGTCTCCGTCTGTTGTGTCTCTTGCCCTGTCCTGTTCATCCCTGTTCCTCCTCCCACGTGTTGATTCGCGGGACGAGTCAGTATTTGGTACAGGGTCTTGCTATGCAGCTCAGACTCATAGTGATCCTCCTGTTCTCAGCTTCTCCAGTGCTGTGATGCGCCACCATGTTGGGTCTTGGGGGCTGGCTCAGTGTGCCCAGGGGCAAGGCCAGCACTGTATGTGGTGCCGGGGATTGAACCCCCATCCCTGCGCTTGCCTAAGCAGGAGCTTAGTCCACTGAGCTATCTCACAGGCCCTAGTGTCTGTCTTTTATATCTCCAATTTATTTCAATTCCAATCTGTCCCATAAAATGTTGCTAAAATAATCTTCACCCACAACTCATGTCACCCTCTGCTCAGAACTTCTCTCTCTCTACCACCTGCAGAATAAGATCCAAACTCACTGGACCTGCCCACCTGAAATTCTTTTATCTTATTTGCCTTTTCAAATCCTGTGCACTCTTCATGGTCCAAATTCTTAGCCTTTACATTTTGTCTTTCTACACCACAATCTGCCAGTAATTGATTATAGTAGTACGTGTTCATTTTACTTCCCAGAGCATTTTTAAGAATCTGGAAAGTAGGAAAGGATGATGTCATTTTCATCTTGTTGCCTACTCAGTTCTTTGTATACATCAAATAATTCAGTAAATAACTATAGAACTGAAGAGAATAGATATAGGGTTTAGTAAAATTAAAAGCAGTTATTAGACTTTAATTTTTTGGGGGGAGGGCAGCTCAGCCTGCCCTGGGGGGAGGCTGGCAGCATGTGGTGCCGGGAATTGAACTGAGGTCCCCTGTGCCTGCCTAAGCTTGCCTAAGCAGGAGCTTTAGACCACTGAGCTATCTCACTGGCCCCCTCATACTTTAAAAACAGAGAAAGAATGTAAAGATGAGATAAGAGAGAGAACCAACCCTGTAAATAGGAATAAAATGAGAGCTACATGTAAAATTTTATAGTAGTCACATTTTTTTAAAATGTGCACATTTCAGATGCAGGGGCTGGGAGTTTGATCCTCGAGCCTGCTGTGCTGGCCCTGCCCCCAGAGCACGTTGAGACCACGAATGAGACTGGACGTGGTGGTGCGCACCTGTAATCCCAGCATTTGGGAGGCTGTAAATAGGAGCATCACTGCCAGTCTGCTTATGCAGTGAGACCCTGTACTCCCTTTCATGCATGCATACATACATACATACATACATGTGCATTTTCCTGCCTCAGAACCCCAGGTGCACTGAGCCGACACGGTGGCACACACCTATAATCCTAGCCCTTCAAAAGGTTGAGACAGGAGGATCACTACAAATTCAAACTGTGTAGGGAGACCCTGTACCAACAAAATCATACCAAAAAAAAAACAAAAAGAATAAATAGGGACCGGGGAGATGGCTCAGTAGGATAAGCAGTTGACTGGCAAACACAAGGATCTGAGTTCTATCCCCGGTTCCGCAAAAAAAAAAAAAAAAAAAAAAAAAAGAATAAATAAATAACAAAATGTGCACTCTCAGTACTATCAGGTAAATAGACGTCAATATGTAATTATGAGAAAAATCTAAAGTACACAATTTTCTGCTAATTCAATCTTTATCTGTGTAATATTCCTTTTTTTCAAAATTTATTTATTTGAATAAACGGGGTCTTGCTACAGATTACAGGCATGTGCCACCACACCCAAGGTTTAGGGCTGGTAGCATTTGGTATTAGGGATTGAACTCAGGTCCTTGCACTATGCCAGGCAGGTGCTTAGACCACTGAGCTATCTTCTTAGCCTCGTGTAATATTTCTAAGTCAGACTTAGAAATGTATAAGTCTGACTTAGAAAATACATTCCTATAATGTATTTAGAATGTATTGAGAGGGGGCCGGAGAGATGGCTCAGTAGGATAAGCACTTGACTGGCAAACGCAAGGATCTGAGTTCAATCCCTGGTTCTGCAAAAAAAAAAAAAAAAAAAAGAATGTATTGAGAATATATTTAGAGTGTATTTAGAAAATACATTCCTAGAATTCACTGTGTTATACCGAGAATAATAATGACCTTTGCTTTGCTTACTTGGGGAGGAGCAGTTAAATATCCAATTCTATTAACACAAAAAAGTGCAGTTAACATTAATATTTAGTTAACAATGTATCAAAACATTCTTTTAACATGTAATCATATCAAAAGTATTGAGATGCAGTCGGCAGGAGAATCATAAATTGAAGCCAAGTCTGGGCAATTTAGCAACTTAAGGAAACCCTGTCTCAAAATGAAAAATAAAAAAGGGAAGCGCTGGGGATGTAGTTCAGTGCAAAAGACCTATGTTCAATCCCCAGTACCACAAAAATAATTAAAAATTTTGAGATGCTTGACTTTTTTCATAATGTTTTTTTAAAATTCATTTATTTGAGACAGGGTCTTGTTATGCAGTTCGGGCTGGCCTTGTGCTCACTTTTGTGGTCCTCAGGCTGATCTTGAGCTTGCACTGATCCTCCTGTCTCAGCTTCCTGAGGGCTGGGATTACAGGCAGGTGCCACCACGCCCAGTTCTGGGCCCCCAGGGTTCCAGAGCCAGGGCTCAAACTTGGGACCTTGAGCCTTCCAGGCAGGTGCCCATGCCTCTGAGCCATCTCTCCAGCCCCCATAATAAGTTTTTACAATCTAGTACATGCAATGCATCTCAGGTGCAACTTGTCACATTTATGGGTATTTTTTATTGGGGGTAATTTTTTTTTTTTTGTATCAGGAATCAAACTGAGGTCTTTGCACTTGCCAGGCAGGTACTTATGCCACTGAGCCATATTCCTAGCAACTTGTCACATTTAAAGTGTTTTGTGGGACTGGAAATGTGGCTCAGTGGTAGAGATCTTGCCCTGCACACAGAAGGCTCCAGCTTCAATCCCTAGCACCACCAAAAATACAAAAATAAATAAAGAGCTTTATACCCTTTATGGTTAGTGGTTTTGTGTTAGAAGTTGAGCTGAGAACAGGAACATGGTCATAGTTCAGGCTGGCTTTGAGTAGTTCTAGGACTATAGACAAGACCTTTAACCACTTATTTTTTTTTTCTTCCCTCATCTGAAAAGAGGAGACACACTTCTCACCAATACTGCACGACTATGGTTGCATCAAATTAGAAACTTAATTGAGGGCACTTGGAAAGGTTGAAAACGTCATGCAAATGGGAGGTATTACAATTATCTCAAGAATACAGTAAACTCTGGTGGCACTACTTCACGCAGAGTTTCTTAGCACACCTGTGACTTTCAGCAAGTATTCTAGATCAGTATCCTTGGCTGAGATACTAAAGGCTATAATTTAAATTCTCCAACAGAGACATAATTCCCACATTAGGAACAATTAAACTGGCTCGCTTTGAAGAATCTGGATCCCAGAGTCTCACGCTCCCAATCTTTCTTCCCTGACTTGACTTCCATATAGTCGGTTAAGAGACCATGGTGGGGTGGGTGGATATAATCAAGACAAGGTTGATCAGAGGGACGTGGACAGACAGACTTTGGAGATTTGTATTCAGGTTAATTATTCAATGCAGGGGGAAAGGAAGAGGCGTGGTGACAATCACAAGCACTGATATACTTGCGTGACAGAGGGGGCAGGGGGCTACATTTCCTATCTTTGTGTCCTCAGCGCACTCCTGGATGGTCATTTATTATTAGCATTTTAAAATGTTCTCCTTAGGAGTCTCTGCGTAGCGCTAAGTACCTCCTTCCAAAATCCTTCAGCTATTGTTTATCCACCCGCCGAGATCTGGGCTCTAATCACTCTCTCTGCTCTAAGAAATGGTACAGAAAGATAGTTAAGACATTATCTATTTTTTTTTAATACTTGGAGTAAGCTGAGGATGACAGAAACGATTCCCTCTCTCGGGTGTCCTGATTGCTTTTCCGTCAGCCTAAGCTCAGGAAGGTGCCTATTAGAAGTTCGCTGGATCCGAGATGCACATCCACTTGCTGCCTCATCTGTCAGTCCTCAGAACTTTCCTCTTTCCCAAAACGTTTCTGTCGTCCCAAGCCTTGCCCACCGCTGTTGCCGGAGAGACCTCGCGCTCCCAACCCTAACGACAGTTGCTAGGGGGCGGGACCTCGAAATCCGTTCCCAAGTCCTGTATTAAGGCGCATGCGGGCACCTTCCCTAGTTTCTCGCGAGACTTTGTCTTGCGAGTTTTTTTTTTTGTCTTCACGCAGACCCTAGAGGTCGTTCCGGGTCAGCCGCGTCGCGATGTGTGGGGACTGTGTGGAGAAGGAGTATCCCAACCGGGTGAGATAATAGGCACGGAGAATGTCTCGCTCCCCTGCCGTGGTCTTTCCCTGAGGCTCCTCATGGGGCCGCTGGCCTTGGCAGACGGTCACCTTGCCCCTTCCAGTGACCTCCGGGCTGTACTTAGGCGCTAGTCCCGGTCGCGGCCAGTGGCTACCGGTGCCGCGAGTCCCGGCCTAGCGGTTGGCATCGGCGGGCATTCCCGTTCTCGGGGGCTCGCGGGGACAACAGAGAAAGTAGCATTCTTTCCCAGATGGCCAGCAGCCGCCCATTCCCACCCTCGCTGCAAACTTCAAAGTGGAGGGCCGGCCAAATAGCTGAGCGGACTAAAGCGCCTGCTTACACGGGCTCAGGGACTCGGGTTCGATCCCCAGCGTGCCGTGCCGGGCCCGCCTCCGACGCCCACCCCAGGGGCTTTGGCGATTGGGACTGGGTGTGGTGGCAAGTGCCTGTAATCCTAGCGCTTGGGAGACTGAAGACAGGAGAATCGCTAGAGTCCGATCTGTATAGTGAGACTCTGCAGACCCTGTACTAAATACAATTTTTTTAAAAAAAATGCATGTGCATATTTTTCTGGAGATTTGTGTAAGAATATTCATAAGGACATTACTTGTAGTAGTGGACTGGAAAAATAACAGGGAATGGAGCGTCATAAAAAAATAGGAATAAATGTAAGTGAATTAGAGAAATGACTCATTCAGGAGTGGCCTCGCCTTCCAGGGAATATTTGGCAGCAACTGGAGACGTTTTTTCTTTGTCACAGTGGGGGAACTACTGATATCTAATGTAAATAGGCCATCGATGCTACTGAACATCCTGTAATACACAGGACAGCTGCCACAACAAAAACTTGTGTGCCCCAGTGTCAATAGAGCTGGGGTGAAGGGAACTTGAGGTAGCGCAGTTACAATAAATGAAAACTACACACCTAAAGTCTGACCAGTACTGTGTGATTTAAAAAAAAAAAAAAAAAGAGCAAGTGTAATTCAGACACAGGCGAGGCAAGCCAGGTGTCTTACTTTTCTTGTTGCTACAACAAAATACCTGACACCCAAAGTTAAAGGAGGAAAGAGTTATTGTAGTTCACAGTTTGTCGAGGTTTCACTTTATAGTTGGCTGGCTCCAAGGCAGGTGATGTGGCAGGGGCACTGCAGAGGAGAAGCTGTTCATGGCAGGCAGAAGGCAGTGGAGTGGCAAGAAAGCAGCAAGTGACAGATAGCAACGGCGGCAGCCCTCTTTCTGTCCCATCTTCTATCCAGGCTACCACTCACACCAGGGTGGAGCACCCTTAATGGTGGCGTCATTCGATAAATCAGTCCAAGTATCACATCCTTGATCCCAGCATCTCATACCTCAGACACCTCTGAGAAGCTCCACCCATGACTGCACGGACTTTGGGGGAACATCCAGATGCGAACCATAACGCCAGGCCTGGGTGTGTACTCCTGTAATCCCAGCACTCTTTTCGGCTGAGGCTGGAGGATTGCAAGTTTGAGTTGAGCCTGGGTAACTTAGGTTAGTGAGACTGTCTTAAAAGAAAAACGGAGAAAGGGTGAGGATGTAACTCACTGTGAGGGCTCTGCGTTCAACCCCCAGTTCTAAACAAAAAAGAAAAATACCCTGGGTGGTAAAACTATAAAGGAAGGCAAGCAGTTACCATGAAGTGGAATTATTGCTAAAGGATTAGGGCAGTGATAGCCACCCTTTTACAGCTTTCAGTGATAGCAAACAGCCTGCTGCAGCACATGTGCTGTAGGTTTGCCACCCTGGATGAGGTGGGTTGGGGGTATGATTGGGAAAGCAGGGAAGACTTCGAGATGGAAGCATTGTTTTGAGTGATGATTCTGCAGGTGTTCATTTAATTATTCATTCTGTATACTTATGTCTCATATTTTTCTGTAGTCCATTTCATACACTTTA